GATAATCCAAACTCAATTAATCGTGTTTGCCCTACCTAAAGTTATAACGTTTAACGCTTATTAATACCTCGAAGTAGATATGTATTGCTGCATGATGTTCCGTTCGGCCGGTTCACTGTAATCGAAGTATTCGAAGTAAATACAAAAATTTGAACTCTGATTGGTCTATCTACTTCGAAATTCGATTGCAAATCAAGATTTGTAATAATGATACTGTTACTGTAGTATACTCTGGAGTATAAATATCGTTAGTACTTTTAATACTAACGTTAGTACTACAGTACTACGTAGTACTACTGTACTGTACAGTACTAGCTCAAGACTTGACGTCGTGAAAACGTCAGCGCCCATTGACGTTGGGAACGCTGAAGTATGGTACTATTGTATAACGTTACTGAGAGTGAGGATTCGAGAAGGGGTTCGACTTGCAGTCGCTATGTGGTGCTACATTCAGTGGGTCATGGACGTTGAACTGAGGTCGTGATACCAGGCTTGAAGCAAAGCACATCGCATGCCTCGTTGTTGTTGGGGTTTTGTCGGTTTTCTGCTCGACACGAAGCGACATCTTTGTTTCTGAGCATGACATTTGACAACAGTGTCATGATTGCCGAGGGTCTTTTGTCTCTTACTGCAAGCACCATCTCACAGTCCGCAGTGACATAGTAGCGCCTCCACGGCGGAACAGCGACTACACTGTCCTCTGCCGCGTAGAATATCGAGAATAAATAACGTCAACGTACACTTCACACTTCCATGGATACATACCGGTACTAGTAGTTTGGTGCTTACCAAACTGATCGTTTTGCCTCACTCAGTTACGATACGTAGCTCTTTCCATTTCATCAAAACTCATCGTAACGCGTTCACTGCTTTGTAAAGCCCACGGTGAAGGGCTCCAAACAAACATTCAGGGTCCTGGTAAATAGTGATAAGTTAGTTACGCCGTTCTCTACTTGATAAGACTCGATATAGGCACTTGGGTTCTTTTGCACACGCTTTCATCCGACTCGTAAATGGTTCGAAGCGGCGCCGTGACGATGATCGTTTTCAACTTCATGGCACGGCGTTCTTTCTTCACCATGACTTTGCTGAACGGGACCGCCTTGCCTGCCACGACCTCCTTCTCGACCAAGTGGCGCTGGAGCGGCTGTACGGGGGGCTTGATGTGGCGATGGTACTTAAGCGGCAGCAGATTGTTTTGCGTGTCGTGGTCCTTGAGGATGCCTTTGATCACGGTAATTTCGTCCGCAAAGGGTCCCACTTGCGGTTTTTGGTGCCTGGCCAGCCACTTTTCCTTAAACTGGAGCAGGGGTTGCTTGACTTGGACCTGCACGCCCATGTTGAATGTCACGATAAATGGGAAATGAACACGTTTCTGGGTCGAAGTGATGCCAACGAACGAATCTACGTGACCTGTCTTTTTGTATGGGACCCCCTTGTCGCCAGTGGAGTATCGCAGGTGCACATCTTGGGTTACATGCACGTGTATTCCCCTTCTATTGAAAATCACCCACCTGTAGAGACCAGCTCAAGCGCGCATCACATTTTTCATGTCAACTGTGGCCAATCAATGGGCGAGTTTGCACATCGTAACCAACTTGCTCGGTTGTCGAATCTTGATGACTGTGAGATGTGGCAGTCGTAATTCCCTAAGAGCAACAAATTCACTGTTGCTTACGCAATCCTATCACTTGTTCTTATTATGTCTTAGTCAAGTGCAGTGCAAACCAAAACAACACATTCCAGCTAGGGGTTAAATGCATTTCAGTGGTTAGCTACCGCTAACCACTTAAATGATGTAACTTAACTGCGGGAACAGCAACACAAGAGGCCCGGGGATTACGAGGTGCGTTTTTGGTTCTTTTTTTTAGGTAAAATGATTACGCAAGCAACAGGGGACAGTTGCTCTCAGGGAATTTTTCTGAGATGTGGATGGATGTACAGGACTTGTGAACTACTAGTACTTCGAAGTAGTATTACTACTAGTAGTACTAGTGAACTACTACGACTATACAGTACTTTATTATTACCGTACTTCGTATGTTAAGAGAAGCCCCCACGTGTATAAATTTATACAAATTTAAAGAGGTTATCCACTGTATGCTGAAGTTCAAGTTGTGGATGTTAAGAGCGTCATACAAATTTCTAGATATCGATAATTTAGGCATTTCGTGACATAATTATCTGATATTAGAGGTAGTGTTATGTATAGAGGTGAGTCTTTATAGAATTTAGGAGACCTTGTTGGCTACTACTCTGGTCCACCAAAAGAGTCCTATTGTTTTATCTTGAATAAAGTATTGAGGGCGGCTCAAAACATCTCAGCGTTTGTATTGAACCTTCAGATTGTATACTGCCGCACAGAAATATAATGACATTTTATTATATTAAGGCAACTATACATTCCAGGGATTTCAAGTGAGAGACAGCTTGCTCATGGATACGTGGTTCACAATGGACATTGAACAATGATAAGTCCTTGATGGTAGCATCTTTCCTCATATGAGGATGCTTGTAATCGTTCCTGCCCATGTTCTCGAGGGACAACTCCATTACCTTTTGCAAGGTAATAAAGGTTTTTGACAAAATGTCATGAGGCAGCTCATCAAATGAGCTTCCAACAGCACTAATAAGCTCCTCGATTGTCCGAGTACACTTTTGATGTTGTAGACTTTGAATCGAATTGACGTACCCTAAATCCAAGACATTAAAGTAGGACTATTTGGAGAGTTCACATTCCTGCCACATAAATTTTGCTGAAAACCACAGAACAGACGCCACCTGTCAACTCATGTGTTGAGGTAGAGTCTCGAGTGAGGTGGATGCGCATCAAGGTACTTAAAAAGGGAATTGTATTACATCTGAATTGTTGGTACGACACT